CAACTACCTCTCCCTGTCGCAACTACCGAGAATAAAACCCACAAAGAGCTGGGAACCTACCGGGGATCTTCTCCGGTCCCTCGGAGAACATCAGCTCCACTTTACCATAATCTGCAAATCTGGGATCTGGAACGTAAGCACACAGGAATGCCGTTAGTGTGGCCATTCATTCAGAAGCGGGAGGATGAATGGTGTTGTCTGCCAATAGGATTCTCTCACGTAACATGTTTGGGTAAACAAGATTATTGGTCTCAAAGAACAAAGTCTAAATTAAGTCCAGACCGAGCCCTGCAGATGCTGCGTGGAGCAGAGGGGTCGCCGTAAACTAGCGGCGGCACGTTGAGACCTGCTCTCGGTTTTGTTTTTTTCTACCTTTGTTGGCAGTCTCCATGTCCTCTTTTTCAAACATCAGGTTGTAGCCCTGCACTGCTCCCGTGTGGAACTGCAGCCGGAAAACAACTTCCCGCTCTGAAGTTACGTCACTCTTGTGATAGCATTTAACCTGCAAAAGAAAATACTAAATGAACATTGTGATTGCTACAATAAATACTGATGGGAGTTATGAGAGTTATTTCTTTCCCCTACCATGATGTCTCCTTTCAGAAGCTGGGCAGGCTCCAGGGTGATGCACACACGGCCTCTGTGGCCTGGACCAATGTGACTGGAACAAAAACAACAGTGAGTCAAGTGAGCCAGAGTCGGGAAGCGATCACAGATATTTACAGAAAGCAGTAGCTCTGAATGAAAATCAAGCATTAAAGTCAGTTAAACAGAAGGTTGCTTTGATGTGCTCCAATATTCTCTGAAGTAAACAAATTACCGTACCACATGTGTAAGCTACTTACTAGATCCCGGATGAATACACGGTTTGCATTCCCTGGTAAACCCTGATGTACGGGCGACATACTGAAACGAAACAAAAATACTTAAAGTTACAAGTGCACTGATAGCATGACCTTAAGTAGCATGTTAGACAAGATACTCATGAGTACCTTCTCAGATTGTTTTGCACAGAAAGTGTGATAAGCTGCTGTTGTGAGAAAGGGGTTTCAGCTACATGACGTGACGTAAAAAACACCTCTGTTGTTTTCGGTGAAATTAGTAAAAACAGCAATTTACATGCACACACGGTTCCCATGGGTTTACTCCTCAGCTCTGTTTATGCAAAGTGCCTCTTCCTGTCCGAGCATGCACGCGTGTCGGAAAAAGAGAACGATATAAAGAAGAGATGTATCCGTCTTGTTTACTGCTCCAGCTCTGATGTGGTCGTGTCTGGGTTCTTTTTACGCCGCCATGGTGGCAGCGACTGCACATTTTCATTGGGAGTCGCAGCTGTGTGTAGTGGTAAACAATGAGAGTTTAACCTCCGGTGGCATCGAAGTTTGGGATCCCGTGAAGGATGACGCAGTGCAGGAACAGGGGCGAGGCGTTGATCTTCATGGATCCACTCAGAAGGCTGTTGAGGATCCAAACATACCTGACACGAAAGGACAAAAGGTGGACGTAAATAATACACAGGACTATTGTAGCTATTCCAACAACGAAATACTAAACATTCAAGGGTATCGCATTTGCTGTTATATGGACAGTCCAAAATGTGTCAAATAGTCTTGCTCACTTTGTTAAAATCACATATTTACTCGTGTTTTTTGGTACAGAAATCAACTCTGAACCCGTATCAAGAAATTTTAAAGGATATTCAGCCAAAATAATATGGGCTCATCTGGCCGTGTTGTTAGACACTAGTTGAGCCATTCCGTGTGAGCGTTGATGATTCACAGTGGTACACAGGGTTAGGATTACACCAAGTCCCCATGGGCTCCCATTCTCATAACAATGATCCACAACGACGGGCTTTTCAGTGAAAAGATATAGACCAAACAGCACCGGGACATGCAAGTTTCGTGGTGAATCAGGTGGTTCTGGGGGCATGAATGTGTTTGGATGTGGGTCAACAAAGCACCAACTCAAATAACATGCGGACAGACGCATGCTGCTTATGTAGAAAGGGCCCGTTCGTCTTTTGTTTTTTTTGAGGTCTTACCGTTTCTGCGAAGGCGTCATCAGAGCGGAGACCTTATCATCGAAGTATTTCCTCATGGCGAAGCGGTCCAACGCCTGATCAGCACTTTGAGGGAGACAGTGAGGCACATTAAACACTTTAGGTAATTATGACTCAGGAGAGAGATTACACTCTACTGCTCTGTAATTGAACGGCGTTAACCCCGACTTAAATTGGGACGACACACACACACACACACACACACACACACACACAAACACACGCACACAAACACACGCACACACTGCATACACATGCATAATGGACAAGAGTGAAAGTAAGCGGAGAGACAGGGGATTCCAGCAGAGAGGAAGAGAATGCCAGCCTTAAGTAAACACGGAGGGGGAGAGGAGGACAGAGAGAGGCCAGAGTGTGTGCACAGCTCTGCTATTCAGACCGACCTAAAACCAACAAGCTCCGGAGCCTTTTCACCACAGCTCTGTTTCTCTCTCCCTCTGCCTCTGCCTCCCCCCCATGCATCTATTCCATTGTAAATCTGCCTCATTGTTTTCCTATCTCTTCCTCTACCTCTTTTTGCCCTCCGTCTTTCACATTCGCCCTACCGACCGGGTCTTCCCCAGCGGGACACAAATGCAGAGGCTAAATCGAAGGCCGATGTGTGCTCTTGCCACAATGACTGGTGTGTGCAGAGAGGATCTACATAGCGGCGTAACAGCAGGCCGCCTCTCCTAATGTTTGCTGCATTCTTTCACTTCAGGGCTTGGACAATAACAATGGCTTTAAAAAGAACATCGGAATCAGTTTTCTTCGTGATGAATAGAATTTCATGAAGCCGACACTGTGGCCAGAAGCTATTACAGTAACCAACATGTTTCCAAGTTGAATCATGGAATTCAACACGGGGGTGATTCATGGCTTAAATTGTGCGGTTTCCTTTTTTGAATTTGAGAGACGTGACTTTTCTTTTGACTCACTCTCTGAATCACCGCGAGCCTAAAATCAAAGCAGGTAAATAAATCAGCCGCGGTTAGGTAATGACATTTCTTATTGGTCTTCGGGAGCTGTTGTGGGTTGTTTGCTGCGACAGCGAGTGGGCGCACACATATTAGGATCAATCCTGACTTCCAAGGAAATTCATAGTAACCCAGCATGAACAATGTGACACACAGTGGTGGTTACCTGGCTGACACGTCGGTAAAATGCACAAAGGATGAAATGACGACGCCGATTCGACCCTTGCCGCCCTGAAGAAACAAGAGACGCCGGGGAACAGATTCACTACACGTGCAGCACTTTTCTCAGTCTCAATCCTACATAAACAAACCATTTTCTGTCAAATGTATTGGTTATTTCACATGACACAAATACGTATCTCTGTATGTTCGAAGTGGGCGTGGCTAATTTAGAAAAAGGCAGTCACATATTTCCATCCACCAATCAGGATTTAGCAGTTTCTGAACCAGAAATGCACGTGAAATACTAAATTCATTTTCAGAGGTTTTAACACTTAAAAAAAGAAAGATTGGATGCTCACCCTGCAGTGTATAACCACCACGTGGAGAGGGTCGGCATTGAGCCAGCTCTCCATGGCCTTACAGATGGTGCAGATCTTATCCAGAGGTGGGGCATGCATGTCCGGCCAGCCCGTATCTAGAGTCTGAAAACACATCCCTCACTGTAAACAGACACAGCAGCGCTCTATACAGCTATGCATTCCCAATCAATAGTATACCGTTTACTGTGGCTGGTTAACAGAGC